CCTGCGTGTCTATATTGCTTCCCTGGTTAACAAGTTAAGGCTTGTGGTGTACTCTTGTTTGCTATTTTGTTACTGCAGAAACACGTAACACGCTGTTCCTTATGTAAGTTGGGGAAGACATGCTACGTACTTCGACAGGTTGACTGCAGGGCACTACCATTTCACTTCTATCATTAATTTTGTTTTGCTATTGCATTACTCGTCCCTAATGGGGTACAAATTTCTAGGAGAGAGGTCTAGCAAGTGACAGCTGCAGTTTTTCTCTATACCTTTGTTATCTGGTGTATGCACCCTTGTACCTTGCCGGGCCAATCATAAGCTTCAATGCATTTGCTTCTCAGGTTTGCGGTTCTTGCTACGTCTACACATGTTTTTAACTTCCCGCTTTCTGGTTCTCTTGATAATTCCATTTGTTTTAGTTAAGCAAGCGTTCATGAAGGATAAGCACTGTGTTTTTTCAGACTTGGTCTTGTCTTCATGAGGTCTCACTTATATGTTGGTATTTTTACAGCTAGATATGCCACAGAATACTCATTCATTCAAAGATGTTGCTCGGTACGGATTGCGTTGGTTATTCAGCTTGTTGCTAATGGAACTTATGACACAGTTCTTCTATTACAATGCATTTGTGGTCAGGTGAAATTCTGTCAGAACTAGAGAGATAATTGGTGCTTATTGTTATTGTTATCTTTTTCCTTATGTTCTAATACTACAAGATGCTAATTTCTTTGCATATGTGACCAGTGGTCTGTGGAGAGAATTATCTCCAGTGGAAATATTTATCGTCGGATACGGAGTAAGTTATTGATATTTTTATTGTAATGATTTTGTTTAGCAGAACAAACTACTTTTTTACTAAGCCATCTAATGTCAGCTTAAGAGACTCTTGGAAATTTTTTCCATTTTCTGTAACTTTATATTCTAGATAACCAGGATACCCGTACTGATCCGTAGTGCTATTTGTGTTGCTACAGGTGCTAAACTTCATGTGGCTTAAGTTCCTTCTTTTATGGAGATATTTCCGCTTCTGGTCTCTGGTATGCCCTTTTTAAGATTAAAGGCGCACTCGGTCTAGAGATCATTTATTGGGATTCTAATATTTTTTGGTGGATTGAAAGTTCAATAGTCCTAGGATATTTAAACATTGTCCTATGAATTGATGCCTTGTTGCTCTATGAATTTTCGATAGTAAGCAATATTCAAACTGTTGCTAGTTTCATGGCCAAAAGCCAGATATTCCCTGCAGTAACGCTGGATAAAAAGTTAACATTAATGGGGAACGATTTTTCTGTGGCTTTTTTGATCAATATACGGTGTTGGCATGTAACAACATAAAACATTTTCTTTCAGGTGAATGGCATTGAAACTGTTGAGAACATGCCGAATTGCATTAATAATTGCTACAGCCTGGAAACATTCTGGAAAACCTGGCATGCTTCATTTAATAGGTGGCTTATCAGGTGAGAATTGTTATAGTATCTAAACTCCTGGTTTCAACTAAAAGCGTTGCTACATCATTTTCTTTTAATATCAGCTCGTAAATAACAAGTTAACAACTTCCTTTAGGTATATGTATATTCCTCTGGGTGGATCACGAAGAAAGCTTCTGAATGTGTGGGTTGTATTTACATTTGTTGCTGTGTGGCACGATTTAGAATGGTAATCCGTCACCTTCCTAAGATTCCTTTGGGTTGTATGAACTATTCTATCCAACTTCTCATGTGGTTGATTGTTTCGTTTGCTATCAGGAAGCTTCTTTCATGGGCATGGTTAACATGTTTATTCTTCATGCCAGAAATGTTACTGAAGTCAGCATCCAACGGATTTAAGGTCGGTTAAACAATGATTGTTTTATTCACTCCAATAACTAAGCCTCATAAGTTCCAAGTCTTTACATGCTAATATACGATGAATTACATATATTATCGCACATTATTATGATGGTAGAGACTTGGAACTTGGGAGCCTGTTATCATATGTCCAAGGACAATTAAACATCCGTAACTTCCTTTGTAATTTTTGTTTCTCGTCCATGGAAAATGTAGTTAACATGTTTAGTACTGTTTCAGGCTAAGAGTGCTTCTGGAGAATTCCTGCTTCGTGAACTCAAGGCACTGGCTGGTGCAGCCACAATCATGTGCCTCATGGTAAATAGCTTTTGCTGAATATTCGTACTCCCATTGGTGTAGTTGCCTTCATGCAAAGGCATACATCGATGCGGGAAAATAAGACTGACTTTCTCAATTGCAGATCGCAAATCTTGCTGGCTATGTCATTGGACCATCAGGTATAAACTGGTTGGTCTCCAGCTTTCTCAAGAGAGAAGGTATCTTGAAATCCAATGCTTTTTCAGTCTTCGTTTTTGTTCTTTGTGGTATGCTTTAATTCGATAATGTATCTTACATCTTAGGCATACCTGTCCTGGTGGGCGTGTTCTTTAGCCTTTACGTGGGTACAAAGGTAACTAGTGCATTCGATTATCTGTTACACTTAAGTGTTTATTTTCCCGTCTCCTAGATTTTTATATGTTGTCTGAATGCTCTCAACTTTCGTTTTTTATTTTATTTTGCAGCTGATGTTCCACATCCAGGACCTGAGAAGTGGGGTAGATAGCCCGAAGTAGGAGTTGTAGCCTCCACAGTTAAACTCAAGTAATTTATTATTTTAAAATCAAATTTTGGTCAGACTAACTGTGTTTGTTATTGCTGAAAGACGCAAATTGAAATCAATTTTTGTAAAGGGATTTTTGATAAATTCACAGCAGTAGTAGTCTGGATGAACACAAACCACCCACAATTGATGAAACCACATTCAATTCTTTGAAAGGTAACTGTTAAATGAATGAAAATCCCTGCAGTACTATCTATCATACATGTATGATACACCAAACCAGAATCCTCTGGCGTGCACGCAGCAGGATTGGCCTAACTGATTAACTTCCTGCACTCTTGAGTGATCTTTTTTGCTGATTCCGGCTGGCATATTCCCCTCAACGGTAGGACCTATGAAATCGATTGCCTATTCCAGTCCACCTCCTTCCTGGTACTTTATACATTCTGTATATTCTTTTCAGCTTCCTCATTCGAGCACGCTTACTTGTATATCGTGGCACACAATCATATTCTTTATCACAAATTCTTTAACATTGGCTTACACATCTCAGATTCGTCTCGCTTGCTCGAATCGTTTTCTCATCTCTATTTCTTTTTCGATTATGTTTCGCTTATTACAATCGTGTAAACGGTTTTTTTTTAAAACACTTTTAGATCTGGTTCTAACAGGAACAACTAGAAAGTGTTGCGGTATTCAGCGTAGCCAACCATGACCATTTCCTTGAAGAAAAATATTTCATCTTTGTCGCCCTTGAATTCCACATTCATAAATAACAAGTAAAATCATCTCGGATAGTGCATTTCATCGATATACCTACCATCAAGAGTTGCCACATTCGATGTACAATATCACCACGAGCCGGTCCTGACTAGAATTTGCAAAATGTGTTTTTTTTTGTTTGTTTTAAAATTAATAGCTAATAGGCCCAAATTATGTTATGTTAGGGGGCTCTGAGTATCACGAGCTACTTTTGTGTAGCTGAAGACTCAAGTTCAAGACAACAACCAAATCGACTTGTTGCGTTTAAGGATTGATTGATGACGTTGGTGTGTCCGTAAGCAACATAAGACCGGGTGAGATAGGGCATATGCGAGCAATAAAAGCAAGGGTTCAAGAAGTCTAGAGGAAGTATGAGGAAAGAAAGGAAGATCACAATGGTAAAAGAGAAGGGAACAGACATGGCCATTGATGATCGAGATCCACTACTGGCTTTGATGAATGAGAAGCTGATTGAGACCATTGAAGAAGACCATTGTCCCTTCCCAACCCAACAATAAAAGGTTGGGACAGGATTAAGACACACCTCTGTTTTAAAAATCGTGGGGCTCTTAATAGAAACATCAGTCTCTTAGACGTAAGGGAATTGTATCAAGTGGTGATAGTGACGGTGTTAACATATATAGAATATATGATTGTCATTGGATGAATAATTTGCACAAGTGTCCAATAAAGACAAAAAAAAGTGGCAGCTTCCTAAGAATCCAGACCTAATTATCTAAAAATAGTTTATCAATGGTTTCGTTAAAAAAAAGGATACAAAATTTGAATAGACTTTTGGTCAGCTCGGAAATAATAGCAATCTGTCTGCAACATTCTGCGATCTGTGGTAACCAAATTATATTTTACTTTGGCAAGATCTTGATCTGGAATCTTTTGTCAAATGCAACTAACTATCCTGCGAAATTTCCATAGTCTTGTAATTAACTTTATTATTAATTATTAAAAAAACGTATGCTAATTAATG